TATAATAAATTATACAATTTATTCTTTATAAGAAGGCATTTTATGAAACCAGTATTATTGTCTAACCTGATATAGAAACTTTTCCTTAAGAGATAAGTAATGTGCCTCAAATCTTCTATGCAATTAGTAGGAAAGCAGGGATAGAAATCCAGAACTACTTGATTTAATGCTGAGCCCACTTTTTTCTATGCTCAACACTGCACTGACTCTCATAGGATGCACAATGTTCTTCAGGCTGGCAGGGAAGGCAAAGGGCTCCAAGTAGAGAAATCACCATTTGCAAAGGCATCTAGGAATGAAAAGGCAGAACCGTTCTGAGGAATGGATAGACAGTGCAGTAGAGAGGGGGACAACATGAGGAGGGAAAACAGAACAGGATTGCTTAACAGCTCTGCACGTCTTGTTCCATCTAGTTCCTACAACATCGCTGAAGAAGGCATGCCACTGTGAATATCAGCATAATGCTTTACAATAAACTCCAAGTACATACTTACACATTTTTAAACCAAAATCTAAGTGTTGAAATTGCTATGTTATATTGCTAATCATAAGTGTACATCTTTATTTTTATCATGGTTGTGCATCCATTGTATAATAAGAATATGGTTAATAAGTGCCATGGGCTTTGGAATTAGGAAATTACTTTTAATCTTAAAGAGAACAGTTTTAGCCAGCTGCTAAGAACGTAATTAACACCAGAAGCATATGTAGGTATTGAAAAATGAAAGATTATTATTGATTGTATACTCAAGAAATTTGGTTGGGAATGGAAAAAAAAGACCTTTTTCATTCAAATTTTATACTGTAAAATGTATTTACATATTTTCAAAGAATTTGCCTCAGTGGGAAACTAGACTGTATAGAGCATACTAAGCCCTTCTAACATAGTTCTATTTGTGGTCTTTTCAGAGAATAACCTTCCTAAAATCCCTTAGAATGCACGGACTGATGTTCAAGCAACCATGATGAAGATACAAACTGCCTAATTTTTAGCTATGAAAATAAACATAATATGTAAAAGAAATCTCCATAATACTTCAAATAGGTCTTGTTGGAAATCAGAATAAAAGGTTTGAGAAGTAATTTCAACATTTAGCTCTTAAAAATGTCATGTTGTAGTGTTAAATCATGTTAAAATGATCCTCATATTGGTAGAATTCCATTATAAAAGTTTTATGCGTTTGTGGTTAATGTGTAAAATAAAGATGACACAATTTTGTCCAGTAGTTACAACTACCCAGTTTAATAACATGAGCTAACAATGATAATCTTCCCACTTTCTGGCATTCAAAAAAATCTTTTAAAACATGTTAGCTGGTGAGAATTTTTTTTTAACTGACATTTCCAACATATTTTGAAACCTAACTGATCTAGAGAAACCATTGTTTGCATGCAAAATTCAAGATGTCATTGTTTTTTTATTGCTGAATAATACTCTAATGTGTATGTATTCCACACTTTATCCATTCTTCCATTGAGGGGCATTTAGGTTGTTTCCAGGTTCTGGCTATTACAAATAATGCTGTTATGAACACAGTTGAACAAATACTTTTGTAGTGTGATTGGGCATTTCTTGGGTATATTCCCAAGAGTGGAATTGCTGGATCCTGAGGTAGGTTGATTCCCAATTTCCTGAGAAACTGCCACACTGATTTCCACAGTGGTTGCACAAGTTTGCATTCCCACCAGCAATGGATGAGTGTTCCCTTTACTCCATATCCTCTCCAGCAAAGGCTATCATTGGTGTTTTTGAGTTTAGCTATTCTGACAGGTGTAAGATGGTATCTTACAGTTGTTTTGATTTGCATTTCCCTGATCCTTAAGGAGGTTGAACATGACCTTAAGTGTCTTTTGGCCATTTGAACTTCTTCTGTTGATAATTCTCTGTTCAGTTCAGTATGCCATTTTTTTAACTGAGCTAATTAGAATTTTAATGTCTAGTTTCTTGAGTTCTTTATATATTTTGGAGATCAGACCTTTGTCTGATGCGGGGTTGGTGAAGATCTTCTCCCATTCAGTAGGATGCCTTTTTGTCTTAATGATAGTGTCCTTTGCTTTACAGAAGCTTCTCAGTTTCAGGAGGTCCCATTTATTCTTTGTTGCTTTTATTATCTGTGCTACTGGGGCTATATGTAGGAAGTGGTCTCCTGTGTCCATGTGTTGCAGTCTACTTCCCACTTTTTCTTCTATCAGGTTCAGTGTGATCGGATTTATATTGAGGTCTTTAATCCATCTGGACTTGAGTTTTGTGCATGGTGACAGATATGGATCTATTTTCATTCTTCTACAGGTTGACATCCAGTTATACCAGTACCATTTGTTGAAGATGCTTTCTTTCTTCCATTGTATAATTTTTGCTCCTTTGTTGAAAATCAGGTGTTCATAGGTTTGTGGGTTAATATCCAGGTCTTCAATTCGATTCCATTGGTTGACGTCTCTGTTTTTATGCCAATACCAAGCTGTTTTCATTACTGTAGCTCTGTAATAGAGTTTGAAGTCAGGTATGGTAATGCCTCTGGAAGTTCCTTTATTGTATAGGATTGTTTTGGCTATCCTGGGTCTTTTGTTTTTCCATATAAAGTCGATTATTGTTCTCTCAAGGTCTGTGGGATTTTTTTGTTGGGATTTTGATGGGATTGTGTTGAATTTATAGATTGCCTTTGGTAAAATTTCCATTTTTACTATGTTGATCCTACCCATCCAAGAGCATGGATGGAAATAGAAAACTCTATCCTGAGTGAGATAACCCAGACCCAAAAAGATGAATATGATATGTACTCACTCATTAGTGGACTCCAGCCATAAACAAAGGACATTGAGCCTATAGTTCACAAGACTAGAGAAGTCAAATAACAAGGTGAACCCAAAGAAAACTTGTTGATATCCTCCTGGAAATTGGAAGCAGACAAGATCGCAGGGCAAAAGTTGGGAGCATGGGGGTGGGGGTAAGGGTGGGGGTCATGATGAGGGAAGGGGAGAGGTGGAGAGAGAAGGGAGAAGGGGAAAACTGGGGAGAGCTTGGTGAGTGGGAGGGTGGAGATAGAGGAAGGGCGGATATAGGAGCAGGGAAGAAGATATCTACATTAAGGAAGTCATTTTAGGGTTGGCAAGAGACTTGGCTCTAGAGGGGATCTCAGGTGTCCAAGGGATGTCCCCTGCTAGGTCCTTGGGCAGCAGAGGAGAGGGTGCTTGAACTGTCCTTGCCCCACTATCACATTATCTCGAATATCACATAGAATCTTCCCCTGGTGACGAATGGAGATAGAGACAGAGACCCACATTGGAGCACTGGACTGAGCTCCCAAGGTCCAGTTGAAGAGCAGAAGGAGGAAGAAGATGAGCAAAGAAGTCAGGACCATGATAGGTTGGTCTATCCACTGAGACAGTGTGCCTGATCAAATGGGAGCCCATAAATCCAGCTGGACCAGGACTGAATGAGTGTGTGATCAAACCAGACTCTCTGAATGTGGCTGCCAATGGGGGCAGACTGAGAAGCCATTGATATTAACACTGGGACCTGTTTCTACTGTATGTGCAGGCTTTTTGGGACCCTAGTCTATCTGGATGTACACTTTCCTAGACCTGGATGGAGGGGGGAGGGCCCTGGACTTCTCACAGGGCAGGGTACCCTGCCCTCTTTTAAGGAGAAAGGAGGGTGAGTTGGGGAGCAGGAGGGAAATGGGAGGAAGGGAGGTACTGTAAATTTTTGAATGGAAAAGTAAAAAAAAAAAGAAATTCAGGAGAAAAAAAGAAACCATTGTTTTAGGGAATTTTAGTCATATAGCAAAGAAGTGCTTACACATTAAAAAATTAAATTTATAATTCTCCATAGACTGTACAGATAGAAGTAAATCATATCATAATGGCTAAGTTTCTGATTGTGATTTACAATAAAATATATATTACCCATCTATATATTACAGCATTCTTAGCTTGTTAATGTACTTGAAAATAACTAGATATATAATGACTTATTGAATTTGGATCTAATTTTTAAACAGAAAATGCACAGGACTTAATCAAAAGCTTCAAGACACACTGTCAGCAAAGATTAAAGTGTGGAACCCTAAACCATTCCAGAATGTCTTTGCTCAGATTCACCTGAGTTTGGGTTATCAGTTTAAATATAGTTTCAGAGATGCTGGGGAAATCGTTGAGACCACTTATTTCAATTAAGAAGTTAAAGGAAGTAACAACCCTTGTTACTTGTGCATATGATTTAATATTAAAAATAAAGAAACAAACAAGATGAAGGGAAAAAACTGTGCTGGCAACTAGAGGTGATTAAATTTGTGAGTGAGGATGCGATGCTGTCCACTATACAAAAGAATGGGTTGACAAGGCCTAGTCCATTCCTCAGAAAGCGCTGCTACAAGATTCAAGTTCCATAAATTAATAACGGACATCTTTGCTTGGGAAAGTGTTAGCATTCTGTGCATCGTCATAAGGACCAGTTGATTATGCAGCTCTGGTTAAATTTTAATAAAAATGCAAAGAACCATCAAAATAAACAAATATAATTATGCACTCTGAAGGCTGCACTGAACACTTTTAAAGAACAACACAGGAAAACTAATTTCTCTGTACTGGGTTCAGTGCAGTGAGAGGCCTCAGCGACCAAGGTCCCAGAAGATCTCAACTCCAGGAACATGACAGCAAGGCTCAGTGAGTATAGTCCATGGTAACATGTCAGTCTTTGTGAATACCATTGCCTCTCAATGTGGGGTGTGCAATGGTTGAAGCACCATGGTCTCCCTTAATTGGTCAAGGCCACTTATTATAAACAATTTATCCCAATATTATAGTAACAGTAAGTCTTAAGAAAACAATTTTTTTGATATCAAAAAGGATGTGATACGTAACCTAAAAAGTTCATTTTGTTCACTTTCTCCTTAAAGCATTAGTAAGTATTACAAATAAGAACTAGGTATTGTTTGGTTTTCAAAGGAAAGTTGTTTTGCTTTGATTTATGTTTTATGTTTCATGTTTTATTTACTTACTTCTGAACTTTTTCATTGGCTGCTTGGGAGACCTCGAGAGCACACTGAAGCTGTAATTCCATGCTTGCTTGCTGAGTCAGAGCCTGCTCAAGTTGGGTGGCCAGTTCTTCGTTCTGCTGTTGAGTGATGGAAACAACGCTCTCTCTGTTTTTCAGGGCTTCTTCATAGGTACTAAGGGCGTGGTTAAACTGGTCCTTCAAGTTCTCTTCTTGAGATAATGATTTGTGTAAACTGAGAAAACATAAAAATACAATTATAAATATCTAGGCTGACTGTTCAGTAATTTGTTTAATAAAAAATTCATTTGGAATCCCCACTTCTAAAAATCAATATAGAAATACCTAAATAGGCTTTTTATAACATATTATTATAATTGATCATTGTTCTGTAACTCTGTTACCAGCCAAGAGCTATGCTGACAACTGGTTATCTGTGATATCAGAGCACACAGAAAGATGCTGTAAAATGTTAATTTAATTATGTCAGTGTAAATATTACATTCAATTTTCTTTTTAAAGGAATAGCACAGAACTAGAAAATAAAGTATCTCTAGGTAAATAAAAAGTATAATAAGCTGACTGCAAAGACGTGAGAAGAGAATGGACACCAGTTTAGGAGATCCAGGGCCTATCGGAGCCCTTAATGAGAATGAATGAGGTTTGTGCAAATATCCGTCAGCCTTATCCAGACTCGCAGTGGAAATATGAATGAAGGTAAAATCAGCAGTCAGATGGTATGTATTCAGATATATATTTTTATGGTTAATGATTCTTATAATAAATACATCTACTCATTAAGCGATATGGAGAAAGAGCATATAAATGAAGACTAAATGAATGCAGAAGAAAATGCAGACAAATAGAATCCTAAAATGCTAAAGGTCACATCCTTGATATGTCATTACACCTACCACCTGAGGTTATTTTGAAATGGCACCAAGCACCTCACTCAATTAAATAAAGACATTTTGAAAATATAAATATTTAATAAGGGAAATTTAAAATCCACATAGGAGATGTTCTTTTTTTATTAAATAAAATCATTCCGGTATATGCATACAAAGGAAATGTCGACTGAAGTGTAGGAAGTACAACCACTGAGCTATATGACACAAGTTGATAATATGAATGAAAGCAAGTTAATTCGTAAAGCTGCAAAATGCTAGATGGAGAACCTCAGTACTGGCCTAGCACGGGTGTGAGGCTTCATCTAAAATTGTTCAGATGAAAGTGATATAAATTTCTTCTTTTCAAGTTACAGTTAAGCCTTTATAGTCTCCCCACTGTGGGGTGGGTATCACATAGAAACAATTGACAGTTCGCATATCAAAAGGAATCATTTCAGGATTTGAATTAATCCCTAACAATAGAGACTGTTGCTAAACGCTGGTCAGTTGGTTATCCCGTGTGAAATTAGAGTGATGTGCAGACGGGTATGTGACTTTATATCCTAGCTCAAAAAGGCTACTCACTCAAATTGCCTGACAAACACCCACATTCCACCAATGCAGTTAATGAGAAGCAGTAGCTACAGTGCTCTTTTAAAAATGATATCACTAATATCATGCAAAGGGATCTCATGTGCTCTGAAAAAAAAATCTCTAAAATAATAAATTGTAAGTTTTAACTCACTAAACTTGCAAACAACCCTTGTGAATAGATTTATTTACTGCCTTTGTTTTATGAATGAAGACACAGAAACAAAGAGAAGCAGGCAATTTAATCAGTCTCACCCCCTAGCAGAACCTGCATTTGAACCCACATTCTCTTCCCACCTCAACCCCAGTTTGTACAGTGACTGACTCTTCTGCACTCGCCACTTCTACAGAGCTCTGCATTATCTGGACTTTCTACTTCAGCCTTCAGCCAGTTTCTTATGCAGAAAGCTTTTCCTGCCCATGGCATTTGCTTGCACTGCTTTCCCTCCATGAAACTCCTACTCAGCAGGGAGGTTTCAGTCTAGATACTGCTTCCCCTGGCAAAATATCGAGACTCTCCAAACTTAATGGTTTTGAAATGTTAGTTCTTTGACAATTTCATACAAGCGTGGAATGTGTTCTGGTGACTCTCATGCAAGCCGTATCTTATCTTCCTGCTACTTGTACCAACCTCATTTTCCCCTACCTGTCTCTTTCCCAGATGCAAGGCTTTGAATTTGGTTGTGTTTCCTGACCCTCTTAGTTTAATCACAGCTACCTGGTGGTGTCACAAGTGGGCACACAACCAAAGGCAATGGCTATCCCTCTCTGTGCATCTGGCAGTTCAGAAATGAGTGGTCCTCGCTCATTCCAGTGCACATCCAGTGAAGTAATCTGCAGTTGCAGTTGTTGAGCGGTTGTTATTATAATTGCTGTGTATTGTTCAGAATTTGGCATGTGGCAATACAGTATTTTTTTTTTCTTTTTTTTTTTTTGGAACCCTCCCCCTTATTCTCTGGCTTTTACATTCTTTCTACCTCCTCTTCTGCAATGCCCCCAGAACCTAGGAGGGGATGATATTAAATGTCTTGTTTAGGACTGAACACTCAACTGTCACTTATTCTTTTACTTGTGTAGCCTAAGTCTGTAATCTCCACAGTTCACTGGAAAGAGATTTCTCTGATTAAGATTGTAGTTATCTATGTGTATAAACACACACACACACACACACACACACACACACACACACAGAGTTTAGAAGGAGGGTTGATTCTATGTCAGTTTAGCTAAACAACAGAATTAAATTCACTGTTACTGTAGGACAAAACTCATGTAACCACTATGAAAATCTATGAAATTCCTCAAAAAGCTAAAAACAGAACTATCACATGTTTATTCCTCTTCTGGTAATATATCCAAAGACATTTATATCCTACTACTGAAATACTAGCTCATCCATACTTATGGCTACTGTATTCATAATAATAGGAAATGGGATCAGTCTAGGTGTTCATCAGCTGATGAGTGGATAATAAAAAAGGTGGAACATGTACACAATAGATGGAATTGGCCGGAAAATAGAGGAAACTGTTAAAGTTATACTAAGTGAGGTGACCCAGGCACAGAAAAGCACATGCTGTATGTGTCCCTGCATTCGAATCTCTGATTTTCTGTCTTCAGCGTGGAGTTCAGAAGTCTAGAAAGAAGCTGTTGGGGGAGGGATATTTTAAGGGAGAATGGATACCCAAGCATAGGTGATATGAAAGTAGAGAAGTGCAATCCTGGGAATGGAGAATTTAAGAAACTGGCAGGATAGAAAACACTAGGGGACAGGTAAAGAAAAAAGGTGATATAAAAAAGCTTTATGGAAGCTACTCTCTTATAATCAACATAAAAATACATATATACAAACAAACAAAGCGTTGGGGAATGGTGATACCCTGAATGACTTATAAGAGCTCCTTCTAAAAGCTGTGGGCTATTAAACAAAGAACTCAGCACCAGGTATGTTTCATTTCCTTTTGAGGACTTGGTCAGGGAAGGTTCTCAAGGCCCTCTAGCAATACAAGTTCTTGTCATGTTTTTTGGTTGTCCACCATGACGAGATGGTAAGATCTGATAGTTGAATAAACCACCTACCCTAGTTGTTTGAACTAGAAAAATGAAGCTAGAACTAAGCTTGCAGCTCTTTTCTACCAGTCTGCTGTTACAGTGCAGGAAGGGCCTATGAAGTCAGCTGGAGAAGAAGGAAGGGAGGCATCAATGGACCTCCCTAAGAACTACAATACCAACATGCAGGCAGGAGGTGCCCACTTGTGCAATAGTGGCAGGGATATCTGAGGGTAACCAACCGCTCTCTGTTTAGATTAGAGACCCACTTCCACAAGAGGGAATCTACACTTGGCATTGGTATTGTAAACTCATTCAAAAGCCCATGGCAGACACAAAGGTTGTAGGCTATAGGGGGAAACTAAAATTTAAATTTTGATATTCTCTCCACTAGTGTGTCTCATAATCCTACTCTTGTATTTTTTATAACTTACTGTAATCTGTTTTCTCTCTTATTTTGTAGTTTATTTCCCACTGAAAACATACTAATATTCTGTTATTAATTGTATGGTCAATTTTAGGTAAATGTTAATTTTAAGTTCTACTTTATTTTATGAGAAGTACATATTTATTAAGAACTTAAAAATTAAATGCTTATCCTTCAAAGAAAATTTTCCTGTATAAACCCCAAATAAGGAGAATAATAAGTAAAGTAAAGGGAGTATATTCTCAGCATCTGGGTGTTTATAAACATCTGTTGTGCCCTTTTTGTCTCATAATGCTCTACCCAACATGGGCATTAGAACCCCACTGTCTAGCTTTCTTCATGGAATCTTGTTGAGTATAATTTTCTTCAAAAGTTATTTATTTTCAGGTGCTATTTTCAGCACAGCAGAAACATTACAACTTAATGACCCTTAAATGACATGGAAAAAAACTAAGTTACAGGGAGTTACAGTGGAAAGAAATGATAGACAAGCAGAAGAGTTGTTGAATCACTCACAGATATTCAAGGCACATAACTAATGTCACACAGGATTCTAATTCTTTCTGTTTGCTATGAAGGCAATGAAATGTAATAAATAAATTTTTTAAGTTATGTTTCAGTTCTGAAATTATGCAACCTTAGTGATTTAAAGTTTTTAAGTATAGAAAGTGAGACTTTAAAACATTACAAAGTGAGGGAGCTGGTTCTTAGGGGGAGCTGCCCCTGCCCACCACCAGCTGCAACACTCAGGAGAGCAGGCCCTGCACCTCACCTGGGCAGCCCAATAGATCCAATCCTGTTGGTGGAAGTGCTGATGAGTCAGCCCCGCTATTGTAAGCATGATAGAGCTGTCCCCATTACTGTCATTACTGCAAAGGCAGGAGAGACATGTTGTCCATCTATTCTTGCACATCAATGCCTGAGGCAGGTAGGAGAGCTGGCCCTGAGGTCATAAGAGCCAGGAAGCTGTCCCTGCTCCCCATCTGCTGCTGCACTCCAGACTGGCCCCTACTCCCTGCCGGGGTAACACAGCAGAGCTGGCCCTCAAGGTGTAGGTGTGGGAGATTCAACCCTGAGGACATGGAAACAGAACTGTCCCCTCTTGTTCATTGCTGCAAAGGGTGAACTCACCAGAGCAATGCAGCACTAATCCTGGTGGTGAGAACAAGAGAGAGTTGGCAGAGTGACCAGCCCTGCAAGTACCCAGGTCCAGAACAAGGGTTATGTGTTGGCCCACCCCAACACCCACTATGATCTGCTGGAGTTCATGAAGGGATC